AAGCTCGCACCGCGCTGCCGCCCGCTCTCTTCGGTGCTCCTCGGCGCACCCCGCGTCCGTCACCATCGCCCCTATCACCATTCGTTCACCCACTCACAAACCCAACCGTCCCGGTCACCATGCGCTCACCTACTCATGTCGCCATGTGCGCCCGTTACCAACCATGCGCTCGCCAACTCACTTCGCCCTCCGCGCTCGTCACCAACCTCCCCAATCACCATGCGTTCACTCACTTCGTGCCCCGACAGCAACCGCCCCACTCCATTCGTGCCCGACACCAACCGCCCCGGTCACCTTGCGCTCACCTACTCATTTCACCATCTGCGCCCGTCACCGTCCCAATCACCACGCGCTCACCCACTTATTTCGAAATCCGCGTCAGTCACCAACCGTCCCGGTCACCATTCACTCAGCGACTCACTTCCCCATCTGCGCCCGTCACCAAACATCTCAGTCACTATGCGCTCGCCAACTTACTTCGCTCTCTGCTCCCGCCCCCCTCTATTACCATGCGCTCACCAACTCGCTACGACATCAGCGCCCATCACCAACCGTCCTTGTTTGCATCCGTCACCAACCATTTCAATCACCATGCGCACGCCAACTCACTCTGCCCACCACGCCCGTCACCAACCGTCCCAATCACCTTACGCTTACCGACTCACTTCGTCATCCGCGCCCACCGACTCATTTCGCTATATGCACCCGTCACCAACCGTTCTAATCACCTTGCGCTCGCCGACTCACTTTGTCACCACCCACCATCGTCCACTCCCCGATACTCGTCACTCTACTCTCCCCACCCATCTCCTCTTTTCGTTTTCATCCTATCGTCCCCACCGTGTTCTCCTCACCGCCATCAGTTCACCTCCATCTTCTTTCCTTTACCATCCTTCGCATATTTTAACCGCAAAAATTTGCGCACCCCGGTAAAACAGATACACAATATCCAACGTCTGGTTGAGTCTTCTCTTCCGAGCGCTAGCCCGTAGCTCGCTCTCACTCAACCTTCCTTGCCACACCCATTTCCCGTCTCCGACACACCTCTCACGGCAGCTCACTATTATTTTCATAAGAGATGTCTTCAGTAGTGACACACAGACTCATTAAAATTGTGGGACAGATGATGGGTTTTTGCCCAGTTTTTACCCGGTCACTCATCAGAATATACATTTGCGTTGTTTTTGTAAGTGTGCGATTGTGTATTTGCTGTGTATTCATTTTCGTTTGAAATGCTATGCGTCGTATTGTTTCATCTACATGCAGACAAAACGACCGAAGCTTCGCGCTCATCGTTCATTGAGGTTAACTAGGACAAGACCACTTGTAAAGCCATTGCGAAAGCGTACTTCAATCCATAATCGCGGGGGGCTTTAATTCTCTTGCACCAAGCCGCATTTCACCTGTTTTTGTTTCTTTAGGATGTATATCCCTCCACCATAGTAACCGGAAAACTGTTTCTGCGACCTCTGAAATAAAGCATTTAAATTTTGTTTATAATATTTTGAACTAATTTAATTTTATAACTCATTTATTAACAAGGACTTCCTTAGAAACTATTTCAATTACGATTTGTAAATTCAATGTATTAGATTTCATTACTGACATCAGAGTGAATATTGCATGAATGTAAGATAAGTCTACGTCAATGTTTTTCATTAAATTTCATTTGGATATTTTAAATTATAGATATTTATAGTTATGCTTTATAGTTATAGTTATAATTATAATTATGCTTTATATAGTTATGCAACTTATAAGGAAATTGTTCATTTGACTTCAATAAGGTAGCACATGTCAGTCTTCAACTTAAGAATTTTCATATTACATGTGCATACTGACTCAGAGAATACAACAGTA